CCTCATATTTTTATTTTGTTCAATTTAGTCCATGTACTTCCAAAAGTGGTGCAATTAAGGACAATAGTTAGCGATGTTAATATTATTGTTAACTTAGGTTACGTGGCGCTGATGATATTTATATTCCTACTCATATATTACTTTATAAATATTTAAAATTTATTATTTTACCACCAATATATTAAATTAGTATGTCCAAAATAAATAATTACGATCATGTTCGTAATGAGATTTGGACAATTGTCCTTAGTTTTATCACTTTTTAAAGTAGAGGGACTAAATTGAACAGAATAAAGGTACAATGACTAAATTGAACAAAACACTATAGTACAGAGACTTCATAGGTACTTTAACCCAACTAAACATTAGCATTAAAATTAATAAGAAGCTAAGCAATAACAAGCAAAATAGAACAATCACATATTAAAATAGATAAACATAAAATAAATGAAATATGACTTAAGTTATAGAGAATTATTTTCTAGATTTAAGGATTAGGGAAAGGACACACAACCAAATCACTCTTGTGATCATCTAAATCTATACAAGAATTAGGACTAGAAATTACACTACTATCATGATGTATCAATTCCAAATCTTTCAAGCACACAAAACATCAAAAGCCTAATATTTTCCATATTCTCATAGTAGGAAGTAGAGATTATGCAGGAGTGGCTTGGAATATTGATCCAACTCTGGTTATGGCCAAGAATCTTCCAAAAACATGTTAATGAGTGTAGTAACATACTTTCAATAAACTCATTTTTCCTTTGTTTGGTTCATGAAAAACATTTTCCTCAAGAATGTGAAAAACATTTTCCTCAAGAATGAAGAAAACAATTTCCATGGCTTCCCTTTGGTATTTTGTTTTCCATGGAAAACAAGTAGGACAATTATGCCATCACCAACTTTTATTAATTACCATCATTGTTGTTGTTATTATTATTGTGTAGGGGTATAATTGCCTTTATATTCATTATCCCTTACAATTCCAAACTTAACCAAACAATGAAATCAATATTCTCAATAATTTATTTTTTACCAATCAAATCATGTAATTCATCTTCTTGATAATTTCTTTTACATAGAATTTCAATTCTATTTTCCTTCAAATATTTTCTACGAACCAAACAGGCGGTAAAATATATATATATATATATATATATATATATATATATATATATATATATTTTAAAAGGACAATCATAATTATTCCTTGGCAACCAAGTGGCTTATAGTCCACTGGTATCGGATTGCTCCCTTAAGTGGGAGGAGTAAGGTTCGAACCTCAATTGAGGCAATAGTGTGTATATGTAGGGTATCCCCTTCCTTATAATAAAAAAAAAAAAAATTATTCCTTGGCAACCACATCTATCTAACATGGTAAATAGTCTTCAGGAAGACAATCGAGGGTTGTCTTTAAACAAAATCCATAAAAAAAAAAAGTTAAAAAACTAATACTCCGTATCTTGTACATTTGAAATCTATTTGTGCATCCGAAAATCATGTGTTAGCCATATTAGTGACAACTTACTAAATAAATAGCATTTGAGAACAATTGTTTTTTTTTTTTTTTTACTGATTTAAGGAATTCAATATTTTTTTAAAAAAAAAATTGGAGTTTAATTGTACTATTATCTTGACTTAACGAACTTATTTGATATTTTTTCATTTGATTTTGCATTTTTATTATAATACCTAGATTTCATGGATAGAATAACCTTTTTTTTTTTTTGAAAGTTACTGGCTCTATTACATTGTAGTATCTGTTCATATACTTTCTCAACCTACTGAAACACAAAGAACCAATAATGCCTCCACTGAGGCTTGAACTCATAATCTTCCAAATGGAAGTCTAACCCGGGTACCATTGGACCACATAGTCCTGGTCATGGATAGAATAACCTAATTACACTTGAATATATCTTATTTGTATAGAAAAAATTCCGTTCTTGTATAATAACTCTAAATCACATAAAAAAATAAATTATATTAAAAAATCATGTGCACAACATTCTCGACCGAGTGGGCACCTAATACATGTTGATATCCCATAAATAATAAATTATTATCTGTCTTTAATTTTAGGTGCATGTACTAATTTAATTCGTTCCAACTTCCAATTTTATGAATCAAATACTATCAATTGCTTTTATCAAGACATATTAAATTTGTGAATTTATTAATTGCAAGATCATTTCACTATAATTTTGTCTGACTAATAAGCCGAGAGATCCCTACAAATCAAATAAGCACCCTTTCCGAGTTTCGGGTCAAGAAATCTCACTCTAAAATTTTGAGATGTTTGGTAAATAGCCGTTAGTTGATAACTATTCGCTGATTAAGCTAGTGGGTTTGACTAGTTGAAAACATTAGTTGATTGTAAAAATATGTTTGATAAATTGGTTGTTAGCTGATAGCTGATTACATACAAAACGACTTTTTCTAGAAGTTGATCGAAAAAACTGTTTTAAGCAACTTTTTGAATTTTAGTGTTTTGGAACAACAAACTGTTACAAAAAGTTAATTAATCAAACACTTATATTAGTTGTTTAACCAAGTTAAACAGCTAATAGTGATCAAACAAATCAAAATTGACTGATAGGCTAATTATTTTTAATTACAATATAATAAAAAAAATATTATATACAAACCTAAAAATTAATCTTTTCATATACTCCGTACTATATTAATATTCATATTTTGTAAAATAAAATTAATCTAATCAAATATAAAAGAGTTGCTTTTTCGAAGACGAAAAATTAATTGCATTTAATAATATAATCATGCACTTTTCCAATCCACGTCTCGTACCTAGAAAGGTGAAAACGATGTTTTTCTGCACTTATCCTCTTTTTTTTTTTTTTTTTTTTTTTTTTTTTTTTTTTTTCAGTTTTAACTTTTTTGTTCTGTATTTTGTATGTGTAGGATAAGAACAAACACACACTGTTTTCATTTTTTAACTCAAAATTATGAAATATATTAATAAACAAATTCTATCAGTACATAATCTAATTAAAATAAATAAATAAATAAAAGAATAAATCAATCTTTTTCCTATTTATTAATATGTATTTTTGTATACATCTAAATTATAAGCAAGTATGAACAGATACTACATTGTAATAGAGTCAGTAGCATTCAAAAAAAAAAAATTATAAGCAAGTAAGCAACTTATAAATTTTATTAGAGTTAATTTCATCAGAGGTCCCTTGTTTTTGTGGTAATTCTAAATTTAGTCTTTGATTATATTTTTTGTAATTTTACATCCTAGACTATTATTTTTTGGACACTTTTAGTCATTCTCATGATTTTTTTCTATTTTTAGTACCGACATTTTTATCTCTTCATATTTTTGTTTTGTTATTTTTTTAGTTTCAACCAGTTTAATTAGTCTAGAACTTTAGGTAACCTCTGATTTTTAGTAACCATATTTTTCAACCGATTTTTAATAAAGTCCTAAAACAATTAAACCGGTTGAAATCGAAAAAATAACAAAAAAATGAAGAGACAAACATTTCCTTACTAAAAATATGAAAAATCATGAAAAGGACTAAAATAGTTCAAAAAATAATAGTCCGAGATGTTAAATGACAAAACGATAGTCTGAAACTAAATTTAAAATTACCACAAAAAATAAGAGAACTCTGGTGAAATTAACTCATTTTATTATAACCATTCTTTCTATAGTTGTTTTTGAATAGAATATACTTTAAAACTATTTCTTATATAGAAATGTTTTTATAATTTTTATAATTGTTTGAAAATATAAGATTTATAGGTGTTTCAGTGAAAAAAAAAAAAAAAAAAACTGCTTCCTTTACAACTTAGATCGCATTGTCGTATTTCATGTTCAAGACGTTAAGGACAAAATTGTAATCACAAAAATTATTAAAAAATTCCTAGAAAAATGACTTTTTTTAAACGGAGACGTCTTTCATTGATTCGCGATTATTTCTAGTTGGAATGACCCAACATATTCTTTAGCAATAAGGGTTAAATAGGTCATTGAATTACACACGATAATGCAATTAGGCACTGAACTCAAAAAAAAAAAAAAAAAAAACAATAAGTCCCTAAACTAACCAATTTCAAACAATTCTTCCCATTTGAAAGTTTCCAACAGGTCAACAGGTCAACTATCTCCGTGGAAGAAACAATGACAGTAGGAACCAAACCCCAACGCATATACATAATAACACCATTGTAGAGAACGAAGAAGAAGAATAAACGCATGCACCAAAAGGACGATTTTACCCTTGAATTTCACAGCTAACTAACACTAAGATAACGGAAGGACTAATGGTGGAAAAATTTTGATAGTCAAGTGTTACATTTGTCCAAATTAAACGACGAGGACCAAATGTGGAAAATTGTTATATACTCAAAGGACCTTTGGTGGAATTAACTCTTATTTATAATTAGAATGACCCATTCATCTAAAGTCGTAAGAATCTTGTACTTGTTATCTTGCTCTGTACCGTTATATAAAGTATTTATTTTTTTGTAAATTAGTTGATCCATCACGAAAAAATGAGGTATAAGATGAACATAAATGAAATCCAATATCATCAAAAGATCCTTAATCTAGTTACCAGCACCCCCTAAAAAATTATTGAAAAATTCTGAAAAAAAACATTTTTTTTTAAAGGAGACGTCTTTCATCAATTTGAGGTTATTTCTAGTTGGAATGACCAAAATATATACTTTATAAATGAGATAACGTATATCATTGGTTCAAGATTATTTATAATTAAATGACCCATTCATCTAAGTCGTAAGAATCTTGTACTTGTTACCTTGTTATGTACCGTTATATCAGTATTTATTTTACATAAATTAATTGATCCATCACGAAAAAATAAGGTATTATAAATGAAATCCAATACCTAGTTACCAGCACCCCCCCCCCCCCCCGGTCTCCTTCAAGCCCCTCCTCCCTCCCCCCTCCCCCCTCCCCCACTCCCAATATAAATTTGTATTTTCATTTTTTATTTTTCGGAAGCTATTTTTTCATAAACAGGAAAAATAACAAAATACATGAAATAGTCGAAAACAAAATACAAATTATACAGAAACCGAAGCTTCTCTCTTCTCAATTGCTCCTTCCCGATCGAAAATTGCATCTGAAGGTTAGTTGGAGCAGATTAATTGACTCTTTACTACTGTAATTTCGATTTTTTGACGTTTAATTTCTGGATGAATATTGTTTGATTCGAATGCAATTTGACTTGCGTTTGAAATTCGTTTTTTTTCTTTTTTGCAGTTGAGTTTTTCTTGGATTTCTTGATTTCTGAAATTGAGCTTCTGTTTAATATTTTTAGGTGTAGCGTTGTGATTTAATTTTTTTTTTTTTAATACTGTGCAACATGTTTGTCTGCTTGTTTTGATTTTGTTGTCATAATTAGCTGTGAATATTTTGGTTGTTTATTTAAGGAAACAATAAACAAAAATTTAAGATTTCTGATATTTGGTTATTTTCTTATATATATCTGTTCAGTATTTATAAGCTTTTCCAATGTATTTCTGTATGTGCACTGAAATGTAAGCATTTTAAATGCATACATACATGACAGACAGGCATATGTATATTTCTGTTGCAATCTGTTTGTTTATGGACTGTGTGTATACATTTTACAGGTCTTGATGTATGGAGTACAAAAGATGATTTCTTTTTTTATTTTTTGTTTGTTGTTGTTTACCCATATTATTCAGTAGAAAATGTCATGATTGTTCAAATTTGATCTACAAAGGATACATACTTTGGTAGGTAATATGTATGCTTATTAATATAACACTTGTTAATGTAGCAGTTAAAGTTTTCCTTCTTTGGTTAACGATCCATATCGTGAGGTCTGTGTAAATTTGATTGGAAAATTATGGTAGTGAATTCAATCATTTGAATTACGAACTGTATACGTTGTTGCCTTTACTAATTCTTTTGAATCAATAACAGGTTTGTTTCTGCACATTGGAATTGACAATCGGTATTGCGTGATGATGCGATACAAGAAAGGGAATTTGGTGGAAGTCTTGAATGAAAACGAGTTACCCTCTGGTTCTTGGCGTTGTGCGGAGATTGTCAGGGGCAACGAAGAGAATTATATTGTCAGGTACAGTACGAGTGATATATCAGAAGCGGTTGTGGAAAGGGTGTCTAGGAAGTTAATTAGGCCTTGCCCCCCTCTAGTTGAATTTTCAGAGAACTGGATGCCTGGGGATGTGGTTGAGGTGTTTCTCAGCTTCACTTGGAAAATGGCAACAGTGTCTAAGGTGATAGGGAAGGACCACGTTTTAGTCCGGTTGGTTGGATCCGCAAATGGATTCAAAGTTAAGAAATGTAACATTCGCGTGAGACAGTCATGGAAGGATGGTCAGTGGGCCATAGTTGGAAAGGTAGTTCTATTAGAGATCTATCTGTTTTTTTTTAGATGTTCTCAAGTACTTCACGACATTCATAACTTCCTATCTTCACGAATTTCACATTGCATCTGCACGCAGGTCATGCCCACATATGGAGTTGTATAGCATTTGAGATTAAACATTTTCCCTTATTTGTGCATTTGTTTTTGTAAGCAGCTTACGTTACTATTATTCTTGCTATTGTTGCCGTTGGTTGTTATTATAATTATTATCATTATTATTATTTGCTTTTGTTGCATTATGATTGATCTTGGGCAACCAGTTTCTTTACCTTAACCTTGACCTTGTTCATTAATTTTTCTTTTCGTGTTGATTTCTGGCATGCAGGGTCTGGCTCAGAAGTACAATAGGATTTCAGGCTTCCAATCCATGGGAATAACGCCAAGAATAGGTTTCCATGGAAAACAAGACCATGCACTTAATAATGATGTGAAATTTCATGAATCTTATATTGGTAAGTCGAGAACTTTAAAGAGAGGACTACCATATTGTGATTCTCAGACAGAAGCTAATAATGGGATTGCCCAGAAATATAGAGTGATTGAGAAGGAGGGTGGACGGTGTCGAGGGATTGCTGCACATTATTCTCCATTACATGGAAAGGTAGGCAACAGCCCTTTAACTGGAAAAGTGCTGGTTGCAAAGGAAAGACATTTTATTGAAAACCATAGAAGAAGTAGTCTTTATGAATTGGAAGTGGAGAGGACAAAAGCAATTGAGGTGGTGTCACATGCAATGCCAATGGAATCTAATGATGCTGACAGTATCTCTAGCTCTGTTGGTAGTTGTAGCATTGCTAGCAACAATATGTCTACATCACATTGCAAGTTGTTAGTAGGTTTTGCAGACGACATTCAAGAACACTCAAGTGATGCTGAATCGGTGCAAGAGTCATGCAATCGCCGAGGAAACTGTTTCCCTACCTCCAGAGAGTTGGCCACAGAAATCCATAGGTTAGAGTTGTATGCATATCGTGCTACTATGGAGGCGCTGTATGCTTCAGGACCTTTAAGTTGGGAACAGGAAACATTGATTACAAATCTTCGCATTTATCTCAATATATCAAATGATGAGCATTTGTTGGAGTTAAGGAATTTAATATCTAATGCATCAAGCTTTTCCATTAGCTGACAGAGAACTGGCATTTATGAATTTGTCTTTTATGATCCTTCTGTAAGAATCCTTTTTTGTTTTGCAGTTAGATGGCTTCTGATCAATGTAAAAAGCAAAATGAAATATGGTTTACTCTTAGCTATACTTTCTGTTTATAAAATTGAGCCTATTCTAGATTCAGTTAGTTATGTAAGAACTTTTTAAGCATTGTAGAATTTCTCTTACTATCTCTATTTCTATGAACAAGTTTCATCTAGTTTAGAATGCACATTATATTTTCAGTGTTTCCTTTTGCATGAGTTCAACTTTCTTCTATCCTGTAAGGAACTTTTAGAATCCTATTGGCAGCGTACAGTTTCATGATATTGTTGGTGCTTCCTCTGTATTTTCCAGGCCCAGAGTTTATGGCCTGCAATTCTGCTACCAAATTCCTGGGTGATGCTGGGATTTGCCTCTTTTCTCTTCATGTAGATGATCTGGCAATGTCAGCATCAGATCCAGTAGGAAGGAAATAGCAGTAGCTATCCATGTTACTGACAGTGTAACATGATTGCTGAATTGATTCTGTGGCTCTATGAAAGTATGAAGCAGAAATACCTTGCTGAAATATTGGGGATTGGTTTCATCACTGTTCCATGGTATGTTCTGTTTTGTGAACATTTAAGAAATTAAGCCAGAGCCATTACTCTCTTTGGCATTATATATTTATTTCTATTGCCATTTTCTGCCTGCATGTTTGAGAACTCTACAGTGCTATTGGTCATAGAAACAAGCAACTTTGAATTCACATAGTAACACTGTCAAAGACATCCATGTAGGATGATGAGTTTATGACAACCCACCAAGGACTTTTACCAATAACGATACTGTTTACTGACTCCATCTAAAGACATTGGCATCCAATCTGATAGGTCTACTGAGAAAGAAAAAGCAGAAGTGTCACTTATTAAAGAAATGAGTGTTCTGCATAGTTTTCTCTTTGTTTCTGATTATTTGCATCTCCATTATTTTAATGGGGTTGTTGCAATGAGATCTCAAAGACATATATTGAGCAAAAGGTTTCTGTGTATGAAGGCTATATTCTGTTATAATATCACGAGAGCAATATAAGGAGTATAAATATTCACAAGTAGACATCATTTGGGAGTAGTACATCAGAATGCACGACGTAAAAAACTTCTATAGATAAGAGTCCTAATAGTTGCTAATTAGCATGTTCTTTTTGCTGGTGGCGGAGTTGTTAGCTCACTTTTTATGCTTAATATATCAAGTATGATCCTCTTCTTATGACTTTAACTTGCCTTCTCTTTTCATGAATGTGTATTGTATTTATATTTGTTTCAAGTGAGATGAGTCCCATCTTAATCTGAATCTTTTGTTCTTGATACTCGAAAGGGAGAGCCACGTAGCTCATTATTCCAGATGGTGATTACTTTCATAATAGCTTAGACTTTCATGCATTCTCCTAAACCCATTCTCATACTCTGGTTTGTATGGAAATCTAATGGTTTTAGAGAAAATAATTTTATTGACATGAAATCCTAAAATTGTTTGGTTGCACAGGCTGGATTGGTATGATGAGATTGCACTGCACTGCACTTGCTTTAGCAAGGATGGACTTGGTATACACCTTCTTGGCTCGCACATCACAATTTTGGCATATGGTTTCTGATTTTTTTTCTGATTATACATTCCAGGTCGATGAATGATTGCATTGCACTAGCCTTAGCAAGCATAGACTTGATTCTTCGAGGCCATGCCTATCTTGAGAGGTTGACTCGTTGATAAGCAAGCATTGACATGAAGCGACTGTCATGCAATTTTGGGTTATGGTTTCTTATTATTTCCAATTATATTTCCAGGTTGATGAATGATTGCATTTAGCAAGCATAGACTTGTAAATCTAGTCTAGCAATTTGGTTCTTCGAGGCCATGCCTATCTCAAGAGGTTGGGTCGTTGATAAGCAAGCATTGACTTGTAAGACCGTCATCTATCGTAAGATGGCCATGGCAAATGCAACTAGAAAATGTCATGTCCTTTTTGCTTTTACCAGTGTAAAGAGGATTTTGGACAGGCTAAATGGAGAATTCAACATATGAGTTGTACATGATTTTGGTTCTATCAAATTCTAAGCAAATCATCTTTGTATGATTGGCACAACCATGTGATTATGCCTCCTATCTCATGGAATGATCAAGTGTATATAAGTAAATCTAGGCTTGGCTTGTGATGATTTCATGATCTAAGTCATGCCTGATTATTATTGATTAAATTTTGATGCTTTTCATGACACATCCTCTTATAGCTTGTCACAAATATGCCTCGAAAAGGGAGGTCGAGCGAGTGGAGCATGATTCTTGTATCAAAAGGTCAAGAGTCAATTCTTGCCAACACTCTCGATTGAGCCCATTGCACATGGTTTTCCTAATGCAGTTACTCCTCCTATGTGCTTTGCGGGGTTTAACAAGTACACACTCTCGTATAATCGCCGTAGGATATAAATATATCTTAGTTTTCAAACGTTGTGTATTATATTTACTCTCCTGTTTTATTTTATATGTTTAATTCGGTTAACGAGACTTGACTAAAGTTATTTTTTAATTCAATTTTTCATCATATTCAGTTTAGTATTAATATACAAAATTTATATATTTAAAAATTAAACTAAAAGCATTATTAAATACTAAAAAAATTAAATTTTAAAATAAGTAAAAATACTTAAGAAAATAAATAAAGAAAGAGTTGGTTTGACCCATTAATAATAAATAGAACATGTAACATAGGGTAGGAGTATTAGTTAACTAGTGATAATAACACACACACACACATTATATATATATATATATATATATATATATATATATATATATATATATATATATATATATATATATATATATATATAGAGAGAGAGAGAGAGAGAGAGAGAGAGAGATGAGTTCAAATGAGGACCACTATATTATAGAGGACTGTGCGGACTGGTGTAGTCGTGTGCCATTAGTCTATATGTCGTGTGTCTGGCCTAATGTAGTCGTGTGTCACAATTTGGGCAAATTATGCCCTGGACCCGTGTCCACATTGAATTGTGGACATGGGCCCAAAACGACGTCGTTTTTAAAAAAAAACGCGTCATTTAGTTAAAAAAAAAAAATTCGCGCGCGTTTTGCCGTTAACGACGTTATTTTTTTTTTTTTGGATTATGAATGTACAGTTATGCCGTTATGAATGTATAGTTATGCCGTTATGAATATACAGTTATGCAATTATGAAATTATGAACACAGAGCTCTAACATTATGAACTTACAATTATGAACATATATAGTGATAAAATTATGACCATGGAGCTTTAAAATTGTGAATATAGAGCTTCGAAGATTATGAATGTACAGTTATGGAGTTATGAATGTACAGTTATAGAGTTATGAATCTACAGTTATGGAGTTATGAATCTACAGTTATGAGATTATGAATCTACAGTATGGAATTATGAATGTACAGTTATTGATCAAATTATGAACAAAGAGCTCTAACATTATGAACTTACAATTATGAACATATAGTGATAAAATTATGAACATAGAGCTCTAAAATTGTGAACATAGAGCTTCGAAAATTATGAATGTACAATTATGGAGTTATGAATGTACAGTTATGGAGTTATGAATGTACAGTTATAGAGTTATGAACGTACAGTTATGGAGTTATGAATGTATAGTTATTAACATATAGTAATAAAATTATGAACATATACTCTTACAATGAAGCGGTCTGAAAAAAAAAAAAAAAAAAAAAAAAAAAAAAAAAAAAAAAAAAAAAAAAAGGTAACAGTGCCGTGTCCAGCAAGCATGCTGGACACGGGTCCAACGCATAACGATTGCACAATTTGTATGTTGTGTGTGATGGCTACCCGATATTTGGGCCTAGTTGGCCCGCCTAGCCTCGATTGGCCCACCTAAACTCAAATTAAACTAGTCGTTAACCCATATTAATCTCCTAATTATTACCCCTCAATTCCTAACCCCCCTAATTATCTACACATAAAGTCCTATTAAAACACCTATTTACTTACCTCATCATAACCTACCATTTGTTGCCCCATTTACTACCCATCAATACCCTACTAAATTTTCCAACGGACACTTTTTGGATTAGCTAGCTATAAGAAGGAGAAGAAGAGCACGAGGAGGGGGCATCTCATTCATCTTCACAGGGGAGGGCTCTCCCAAGAAGACCACCTACTATTCTTTCTTAGGAAGCCATATCAATCTTCCACAACCAGTCTCCCCCCTACTAGAAAATTCTTCTTACACTACTCTCCCAAGAAGACTCCACTCATCACACATGAAGAAGACTCAATTCAAGGCTAGAAAGAAGAAGATATAGCTTTATTCTTACATTACTACGTGTACAAAATAGCTCTACAATATGTACAAAAACACCTACAAAATACATAGTGAATTTAGGCTTGACACCACCCAAATTAAAAAGGCCTGTGGTTTTCACCTTTCGGTTTCCACGTAAAAAATCATCGAGCCCATATTGTTAGTAGCTTTATTTGAACGGTGAATCCACCAACCACGGTTGTGTTGGACCTTCGAGGGCCCAAAAACCCTAAAGCACAAGCCTCACGCACCTTAAGCACAAGCCTCACGTATGTTAAGTACAAGCCTCACGCATATTAAGCACAAAAACACAGGCACATTAAGTTTTAAAAACAACTCACATTAAGTACACACTCACGAACATTAAGTATAAAACTCATGCAGCTTAAGCACACGACTCACGCACATTAAGCACAAAACTCACGCACATTAAGCATAAAACTCATGCACTTTAAAGTTTCAACAACAACTCACACAACAACTCACATTAAGTACACACTCACGCACATTAAGCACAAAACTCATGCACATTAGGCACAAAACTCACGCACCTTAAGTACAAAACTCACACACATTAAACATTACACACTCACTCACATTAAGCACAAACCTCACGCACGTTGATACGACCGCCCCGCAGTTGTATCGAATGTTCTTTTTCAAGTAAAGAACATAGAAACTCCAAAAGAAACTAAGACAAGAATATGTTCTTCATTGCCTTCCTGACACTTATTACATGATATTTATAAGGGAAAGAGTATAAAAACAATCTAACCAGAAGAAACTACTGAGGCAAGCTAACCACATAATCTCCAAACTTGACTGGAACTTTCCGCGATCTTTTCGGTCTACCACTTCCCACCCTAATTGCTCGCTCTTCCTCCGCATGCACCTCACCTGCAGCTTCCACATCATTCTGACTCACTCCAGTAGTCGTAATAGTCGTATCAATATTCCCTCTCGTGGAAAACACCTTGTCCTCAAGGTGGAAGTCGGGCCAAACATCGGATAACACATCCACAAGAACCCACACAGCTTCTTCAGAAGGACAGTCAGCTTAGTGCACCAAGACCTGCCTCTCTAACAGGCCATTTCTCAAGACCTGGCGCTCACCCTCGAGCAGTGGTACTAACGGGGCTTCTACGGTGAGGTCAGCTGGCAACGAGCGGGGAGCATCCTGGAGAGCACCCCGAAAAGGCTTGAGAAAGGAGATATGAAATACGGGGTGTATTTTTGATTCCGCCAGCAACTGTAAACGATAAGCCACAGCACCCACCCGTTCCAACACTTTGAACGGACCAAAAAATTTGACACTAAGCTTCGGGAACGGCCGTTTGGCTACAGAGGATTGCCGAAAAGGTTGAAGCTTTAGCCAAACAATGTCACCAACTTTAAATTCATCATCTCTACGCTGCCGCTTAGCTTTTTGAGTCATCCTGTGTTGCGCGTTCAGTAAATTAGTCTTAAGCTGGTTCAATAATTCATTGCGCTCCCAAAGCAAGTCATCTAGAGCCTGAATATTAGTGGAATTTCGAATATAATACGGAATAGTGGGCGGCAGCCGCCCATACAATGTTTGGAAGGGACTCATCTGCAAACTGAGATTGAAGCTAGAGTTGTAACTAAATTCAGCCCAACTCAATAATGATGCCCATGACTTCGACCTTTCCATAGCAAAAGCTCGGAGATACTGCTCAAGTCCCCTATTCACCACCTCAGATTGACCATCCGTTTGGGGGTGATATGATGTACTATGTTTAAGGAGCGTTCCACTTAATTCAAATAACTTCTTCCAAAATGTACACATAAAAATTCGGTCCCGATCCGACACAATACTAGTCGGGAAGCCATGGTGTTTAATAACAATGTCCACAAACAATTGAGCTGCCCTCATGGCTGTAAAATGAGTGGGGAGGGCTCCAAAATGTGCGTATTTAGTGAGTCTATCAACCACTACCATGACAACAGTGAAACCGTGAGAGAGCGGCAAACCGACAATAAAATCCATTGTTAACTCATCCCAAACTCGATCTGGAACTGGCAATGGTTGTAGCAGTCCCATCGGTGGTTGGGTTGTGTATTAGATTTGTTGGCAGGTAAGGCAAGATGCGACATAGGATTCGACGTCCTGACGCATTTTTGGCCAATAAAACATCCCTGCGAGTCGTACCAAAGTCCGTTTAACTCCTGAGTGTCCCGAAATTTTTGAAGCATGAAATTCTTGCAGTAAAACATTTTTGAGAGAAGAGTGAGGGCTAATATAATACCGATATCGATAGAACAACATCCCATTACTCCGGGAAAAATCAGATGAGCGTACCCCCTCCTCCATACGACGATGTAACTCTTTCATATCGTCCAGTTGTGAGTTTACATGCTGGAGGATCTCCCAAAACTCCGAGACAGGACGACTAGAAATTTGCATCACCGTAGCTTCCTCATGCATGCGAGATAGAGCATCACCGGGTGTATTTTCCTTGCCCGGCTTGTATTCTATTTTGAAGTCATAACCCAACAACTTGTGGACGAATTTGTGTTGTTCTGGAGTCAAAACCACCTGCTTAAGCAGTTCTTTAAGACTATGGTGATCCGTTCGAACAACGAAAGTAGTACCAGGAGATAGTATCGCCACTTTCGTACGGCCTCCGTTAGGGCCTGCAACTCCTTAGAATAAGTGGATGTGGCCTGCCACCTTGGACCCATTTTTTTACTAAAATATGCGACTGGATGTTCATTTTGTAAGAGGACTCCCCCCATTCTAGAGTTTGATGCATCCACCTCCAAAACAAAAGGAAGTGTAAAGTCTGGTAGGTTGAGCACGGGAGCAGCTGCCAGTGTATCTTTGAGGCGACAAAAAACATCATTTGCCTCAGGTTCCCACCGAAATTT